CAACAATGTGGTGATAGTAATAACATTATTCATGAATCTAAGATGAAAGTATTTTAGAATGATTAAATACAATTGAAAAGACACTTTCTACATTACCAAAAACAATTGAGGATATTATTTCATCTTGTTTGAACAATTATCTGATTATGTCTGACGATTATGTCAATTCTATGAAAAGACTATCTCAAATGATCAACAAAATGAATCATTCAAATATCTTCAAATAAAAAGAAAGACATTAAAGAATATCATCTAAAACAAATAAAAGTAAAAGAATGTGTTCTTCTTCAGATACAATCATTGATGTTGAATTGAACAAATAAAAACATGGTGTATTATCAAGTGATATAAATGATTCAACAAAACAACGATGTATTGTTCCAATTTCTGAATTAGTAATAAACCACTAATTATTTGTGAAACTCTTCAACAAAAATCTCAAATGGTTATTGTTCATGAAGATTTTGTTATTATTTATAATGAAATCAATGATGTTGTTTGAATAAGTGATGAATAAGTTATTTTCAATTGTTGTAATTACAGTGTTAATGATTTAAAAGTGAATGATTGTGGTTTAATCATTGTAGTTACTGATGAAGAAGTAATTAATAATAATAAAGGAGAAACTGATAAAAATGATGGAATGATTACTTCTGGATGTGAGGTTAATAAACAAAATGTAATTACATCAAAGAGAGGAATGAGTTATAAAGATAGTGGTAAAGATTAATTAAAATTTAAATCAAAAATTCAATGAGAAATACCAACTACAATCAGATCAACCACATCTTATTTATTTGTTCAAGACATTAGAACAAATGGTATTATTGTTTGTAACACTTTGTTTAATGAAATTAAAGTTCTTAACAGTACAAATAGTGTTTATTTTTGTGGTATTAATGATTATCAAATTGAATACTCACTTCTAAATCAATTAAATTCATTAGATTCACAAACATACACTAACTATGAATATAAAATAACTTAAATTCAATACAAAACAATTTAAATGAAATTGTAACACATTTATATGAGTGACATGTCATTAGTCAATCTCAAGAAATGATAAAAACATACAAAATACCAGTTGATTCAATCAAACAAATATTTTATTTTTTTTATGTTTGAAATTGTTATTTTGTTTTCTTTTTATTTTTTCTCTTTTCTTTTTTTGTTTTTTAGAAAATATTTTTAATTTTTTGATATTTATTTCTTATTTTTATTCTTTTCATTATATTCTCTCCTTCATATCATTTATTTTAATTCTTTATACATTTTGATTAGTGTCATTATTTTATAGATATTTTCATTATACATTCTTTATGAATTGATTCTATTGTTATTATTTAGTATGATATTTTTATATTGAAAATGAAATTTATTATCATTAATAATAAGTTAAATTTGATACAATTACATATTTGAAATAAATGGAAATAATAAGAAATGAAATAAATGTATGAATGATATATATTTATATGAATAATATTAAATAAAAATAATAATATCATTATTCTTATTATCATATTAAATTATCATTAATGGTATTATATTGTAATGATAATTTGATTGTATATTTTATTTATAATATGAATAAAGAATAATAGAATGATAAAATATAAAATAATTTATTT